TCTCTCTCTCTCTCTCTCTCTCTCTTTCTCTTTCTTTCTTCCTCTTTCCCTCTGTCTCTCTTTACCCCTTTTGCTCCGGTTCTCCCCACTCGTCCAACCTTCTATCTCTCTTCTGTCCCTCTTTCTCTGTGTGTTCGTTTCAGTTCGGTACAATACTCTCTCTCTCTCTCTCTCTCTACCCCTCTCGAAACTTCCCCACCTCTTCCATCGTTTCCCTACCCTCGTTTCTCGTTGCTTGCAGTCTCTCCCTCTCTCGCGGCTCTCCCTCTCTCCCTTCCGTCGCCAGCTAAGGCCGGCTAACCCTTACGGACCCGTCTGCTGTTCTCGTCTCTCCACGGGATCTTCCTTTCCGACTGTTTTCCCAAAGGGGGTTGCAAGAGAGCTTCCACGCTCCACGATCTTTCTTCGCACGCCAGTTCCAGCTTCTTCCCTGCCCCCCCCTCCCCCCTCCTCGCTTCTTTCTCCTCTGCGAAACTTTGTTTCTGATCCGTTTCCCTTTTCCGCCGGACGAAAGCAGCAAGAGTCTCTCTCTCTCTCTCTCTCTCTCTCTTTCTCTCTTCTCTGTTCCTTCGGCTACCCGTTCTTGTAGTAGGTTCCCGTTCCCGATCGGGAGGACGCCAGGTCCCAGACTACGCCGACTCCGAGCCACCGGCGCTGCGTCGGCGTCGGCGTCGGCGTAAAAAGTTACGGCTCGGGCGCAAGCTCGCCGGGAGCGCGCGGTGACGCGCGGCGAGCTACGTGCGAGCAAGAGGCCGCCAAAAGACAAAGAGGAAGAGGAAAAGGGGGGCGGCGGCGGAGGGAACAGCTGATTTCGCTTGCCGCGGAAGGGGGTGAATGGTAGTAAAAGGAGAGGAATTAGAGCGCGAGCTGATAAATAGAAAGGCTGGCGACGAATTCTTCCGCGGCAGGGATGATCAGACGAGAAATCAACCCTTACGAAAAGCAATCGACGCGAAGAACTGGCTAGGTTTAGTCTTAGGTTTAGTCTGAGTAAAACGTCGGATTGAATCAAAGTCGGTCTCAGAAGCAAACTTCTGTCGTCAAGTAGAACAAGCCTAAGTCAGACCAGCGGAACTCGCGACTTCAAAGAAATTCAACCTTCGTTGATCTACATGCGGCTCTTTTAAACTTTAAAAGAATCGGAACATTCGCAACGCTGTGTTGAAAGAATTCACCTACGAATCGTGGAAATCTATCATGGAACCAAGAGAGAAATAGAGAGAAAAGACAGAAATAGGGAGAAGAGCAAGACCTGTAACTCGTAAAGCCTCTATTTATCCGACTCGTTTCCGTTTCTACCTGCCTCTTCTTCGTCGAGCCACTATCTACACAGCCACCTCTCTGCAGCCGTGGTCCTCTCTTTCTCTGCGTCTCTCCGTGTATTTTTGGGCGCTCGTTAGGAATTAGCACTGTGAGACTCGAAGGGGTCTCCTCTAGCCGTGCTCTCCCTCCCCTTTCTTCTCTGAGGCTCGAGGCTGTACCGAGGGGATCAACGTTAACTAAAAGCCCGATTACACACGGTATTATAGAGGCGGGAACGACGCCTCCCGCCTCCCCCCTCCCCCGCGCGATACGGAGGAGTTTGTCAACAATCTTCCACCCGCGCCACCCCTGGAAAATAGCGACGCGGCTGGAACTAGCGTGGCGGTAATCTCAATATCGCGGCCAAAGCGAAACAGAGATTACGTGCCCCCTTAAAACTACCCTCGGCCGGCGTTCGAGCAAAAGTTTCGTAACTGGCCGTGAGACGACACGGCTTAAAACTTTCCTGTCTGACTGCAGGAGGATTCTGGAGGAGGCTGGCCTCATCAGCTTTTTACCGGGGATCGTTTCCAGGTTTTAGCTGGCTGCACGATCCTCCAGACTTTTTTTCTTTTGTTTTTTTTTTTTTTACGATCCTTCGAGCGAGGGAACACCTTCGTGTTTTTTTTTATCTTGTGAATTTTCGTTGTTTGTCAAAGATCAGTTTTCATCTTCGTTCTATGTCTGTCTCGTGGGAGATTCTCATAGTTGATTACTCGTGTTTCAATTTCCGTCACTTTTACTCGTCGCGCGACCAGGAAAGAAGCGATCGAACCGCTCGAAGCGAGGAGCTCGCGATGCCTGGCGGCCGGGAAAACTCGCGAACTGCTACTGGTGAACAGTATCGGCGTGCGACTGAGCTCCACCGGGGCACCCTTCCCCGTGGAAACGGGAGCCGCCGCGAACGTGACGGATTCCACGGCTCGAAGGGGCCCTCGTTCCTTGCTCGACGTGTTGCAGCCTCTCAGGCGCTTCTCCGAGAACGATACGATCATCCCGTGTCGAGGGCATTAAATTTAAATTGCACAGCTCAATTCGGTATCAAAATCCTTGGAAATTTAAATCAATTCACTTCAAATCCTGAATGGGTACTTTCGCAGTGGAATGTAGCACATAATGCAATTATTTCTATTCCTATAGATCAACGTTGCAGAAATAAATAAATAAAAACGAATAGAAAAATGATTATCAGACTATTATCTGATAAGAATTAGACTCACGTGCCAAAACATTGGACATCAATACGAAACGCTTGTAATCCCACGTGTACAAACTTATTGTCAAATACACATTCGTGTCATTTGAATACAACGTTTAGGAGGGTTTAATCTTCTGGGTGCTCGAGGTACGATGATTCTTCTCGTTTATTTGTATTTACATTAGTATTAAATCATATGGATACAGTGATTCGTAAGATAAATAGAACTTTATAAATGCAAAAAGGAATTGCACGCTTGATTCATACACCACCAGTAAGTGTTTCGGCTTTCCTCGTCTCGAGGGAAAGAAACGCACGAGGTCAGCGAATATACTCGCGGTAATCGTGCTGAATTTAATACCGTTAAGGTACTTACATGTACGTCAGACTTGTTATTCGTTACACACACAGCTGGAGATGACAGTGATTACTCGATAAATGTATATATTCATGTTCGAATGAATTTTTTTTTTTGTTCGAAAACGGACGATAATTAGGGATTGGCGTGTTTGGATTAAAAAGTGTTTGAAGTCAGTTTAAAAGATTAATCCGTTAAAATATCGTCTGGCTACGTATCAACCAGATTGATTTATGGGCACTGTTGCTTTTAGTGACCTGGCGTTTGCGATTATTGCTATGTTGCTAACACTTTGTGTCCGTGGAATTAAAACTGAAACAGAGAATAACAGCTTTTTTCAGCAATTTTCATCGGCGTTCATCGACTATGTTACACCATAGATACTGACCCTTTTTAGAAATTCTTCCGCACAGATGCGAGCTCTTGCATTCATGGACAGTTTCATCTCGCTGATCTCTCTGTCAATTTCTTCCATGAAATAAATCACAAAGTCTACGATCTTGTGTTTGTACATTTGTTCTACATGGATGTTTGTAATTAAAAAACTAATATCATAACCCTGTAGGACATGAAATATTACAAACATCGGTTATTTGTACAATTAATTTTCATACATGTGATACCTCTGATATTTACCTCTATTGGCTTTCTCCTAAGAATAATAAAATGCTCTGCTCTCATTGTCATGAATCTTGTAAAATTATGACAAAGAAGTTTCTCCAGATCGTCGGCCTGTTTCACGGCGATACTTATTCTCATACTGTTTATACTCGATTCGATCAACACTTTCTCTTTGTCGTTTCTGCTTATTAGTATCGGTGTTAGAAGAAGTTCTTTACTAGCTCGCACTTCAACCTCAGGTTTATTGTGTTTCTCAACTATCTGAGAGGAGAAGTTCTCCAGACACATAGCAGCAGTAAGCGTTCTCCTCACTGCTGCTAGGTAAGGTTTCAGCGTTCCTGACTGTAACAAAAACATCAATGACAAATAGCTTACAACCTCGACAAAAAGAAAAATTCAAAAGTCATCGTTACTGCGATGAACGAAATTTATTTTTTTTTTTTTTCTTTTTTTGAAACTAAATCGTGAAATTACATTTCTTGTTTCGTTTAATGATATCTCGCGTTTGAACGAGAATATATCAAACAGTAAACAGAAATTTGATACGAGAACATCCTGTCCGACTGATAAAGAACTTTATCATCTCGAGAGGCAGTAGTTACTATAACCTATTTTCTCAGACATCAAGGACTAGAGCTTACCATTATCCGACTACGGCTATACCGCCGCGAGTAAACACACCTCCAACGTAGATACTAGACGCCAGCGAATAATATCACTTGCAAATTACAAATACATTCTTACAAAACTAGGAAATTGTCTCATCACAAATACCAAAATCCAAAACCCGGACGTAACAATGGTGGCAGCGGCGAGATACGTTGGGGGAGACATCTCCTTAGGGAGGGGCATCCTTCTATCGTCAGTAGTTCCACTTGCTACCAGTAGATGTCTATGATTTTCTCGCGACTTTTATCA